TAGTTGGGCTGTTTTCAATAATTGCTGGACAAAATGTGGAACCATTAAAGTTGAATAATTGAGCAAAATAATTTCTGTATCTTTGTCTTTTAGCACCTTACATACAGCTACTGCTCTGATATTGCCAGGTGAACATGTCATTACTGGGTCCAGCTTACATAACATATATCTCAATGGCTTGTTATTTCCTAATATGCTCTTTGTGTAAGAACTTGAGTTTCATGTTCTAAAAAGACAACCTTTTCCTGGCAATATCATAATTTCTCTTTGCTTGCTCTGTTGCTAGTTTTAGTTAAATAATACAAGTTCTTAGTATCCATCTTACATATTTTTCCAAAGTAAATATATGATATCATAATATATGATAACAATACCGTGACAACTTTGTGTAAAAAAAAACAATTGTCATTTTCAAAACATTTGTGGCAAAAAATAAAATGCTCCATGGACTCAGAATGCCTTTCAGCAAAATCCTTGGGGTGTCTACTTTCCAAAAAGGGGTCATTGGGGGGGGGGGGGGGGTTGGACTGCCATGGCATTTTATCACCTCAAGCATTGTGATAGGCAGAAAGTAAAAGTGGCGTAAATTCCAATATATATACAGTATATACCATAGATTGTAGACGCTATAATTTTCACACAAACCAATTAATATACATGTATTGAGATTTTTCTTTACCAAAGACATGTAACAAAATACATTTTGACCTAAATTTATGACTAACTTTGAGTTTATTGGATTTGTTTTATAACCAAAAGTGAAAAATATTGTTTTTTTTTTTTCAAAATTGTAGGTATTTCTTTGTATATAGCGCAAAAAGTAAAAACCACAGGGGTAATCATATACCACCAAAAGAAAGCTCTATATGTGTGAAAAAAAAGACAAACTTTGTTTGGGTACAGCATTGCATGACTGTGCAATTCCCAGTTGAAATAGCAAAGTGCCAAACAGCAAAAAATGGCCTGGTCATGAAGGGGGGTAAATTTTCTGGAGGGCAAGTAGTTAAAGGAGGACTCTTTACCTCATTCACTTTTTAAAATGTCTGCTACCAAAGGATATTTCATTTGTATTATTTTATATATATACTATATGCACTTTTAAATGTAACCTTCCTTTTACCATGATTACTGTGATCACATTGTTTAGCAGATTAATTCAACTGCAACATAATGTTATGAAAACTCGAAGTCATATTATATATGTGTCCTTGCCAGTTAATAGTGATGTCTCATCCCAGCACATTCTTTTCATGGGAAAGAGCAAAGGAGGGGGGCAAAGCTACACAGACATGCATTCCCTCACTTTCTTTTAACTCTCTTCAAAATGATCCTGCCTAAATTACTTTTCCCTATAATTGTATTGTAATCCCGTACTCAACTCCTCCAGCTCTTATAATCAGACAGGCAGTCATAGTGTTCATCCCATCTTCCTTCTCTGACCACATATACTGTAAAGTATTCTGTTTGGGCCAGGGACAAAAATTATATTAATTCCATACAATTTGACTCTCATTTCTCTGTTTTAGAATTTACTAGTTATGGTGCCTTACTCCAAATTAATTGCACAACTTAACATCAAAATTTCCCCTTATGTCTAATGTTACATTGTCTGTCACCTTTCATTCATCCTGCTCAAGTAGATAGCTGTTTCTCTAGTTGTTTAATCTGCATGCTTCTTAGTCCCTGTGGACTTGGTAACCCTGTTGCCCACTGTGGATCCCCATCCTCTTAACCATTTATCTAGGGGCTCAGTATAGGTGGAACCGCACCTTCAGTTCGATAGCGCTCCTCTTGCTCTGGGCATAATCTTAGGGCACCCTCTTACCTTTTATTCCCTTAATCACTTGCTTTCTGAGGATTTACCCCCCCCCCCTTCTGACCAGGCCTCTTTTTGCTATACAGCGCTGCACTATTTCAACTGGTAGTTTGCGAGGTCATGCAATGCCGTACCCAAATGAAATTTATGACCTTTTTTCACACAAATAGAGCTATCTTTCGGTATTTGGTATGGTATTTTATCACCTGTGCACTTTTTATTTTTCACACTATAAACAAAAAACCTCCCAAATTTTGAAACAAAATTTTTTTTTAATTTCGGCTATAAGATATATATAGTAAACTCAAAGTTAGTCATAAATTTAGGCCAAATTGTATTCTGCTACATGTTTTAGGTAAAAAAAAATTCCAATAAGTGTATATTGATTGCTTTGTGTGAAAGTTATAGCGTCTACAAACTATGGTATAGATAATGTAATTTATACAGCTTTTACTTTCTGACTGCCCATCACATTTCTTGAGGTGCTAAAATACCAGGACAGTACAAACACCTCCAAATGACCCCTGTTCAGAAAGTAGACACCCTAAGCTATCTGCTGAGAGGCATATTGAGCTCATGGAGGATTTATTTTATTTTCACAAGTCTTTGGAAAATGAGAAAAACTGTTTTTTTTTTAAACAAAGTTGTCACTTAAATGATATATTGCTCACACAAGTCATGGGTATATGTGGAATTACACCCTTTTTGGAAAGTAGACACCCAAGGAATTTAAAAAGAGGCATGGTGAGTATTTTGCAGATCTAATTTTTTCTCACAAGGTTTTGAAATATAAAAAAATAGAAAATAAAAAATATGTTTTTATTTTCTTTCCTTATTTTCCAAAAACGTGTGGCAACAAACGAGATCTACAAAATACTTACTATGGTTCTTATCAAATTCTTCGGGGTATTGACTTTCCAAAAAGAGGTATTTGGGGGGTTAGGTGCTATCCTGGCATTTCAGCGCCTTCAAAACTGTGATAGAACGGGTAGTCAGGAAGTGTAATGAGGAAATGAATCCCTTTAAATGCCTGAAGGTGCTTATTGGATTTTGGGATCCTGTACTGGGCTAGACTGCCAAAAAGTCTCTCAAATGTGGTATCTCCATATTCGAGAGAAGTAGCAGAATGTATTTTGTGTAGTAATTTCACATATACCCATGGCATGTGTGAGCAATAAATCATTTATTTTGTGTAAAACAATACTTTTTTTTTTTGTCATTTTCAAAAAAAAACTTGTGGTAAAAAAATTTATTCTATTGACTCAACATGCCTGTCAGAAAATAGTTTGGGGTGTCTACTTTCCAAAAAGGGGTCAGTTTGAGGGGTGGGGGCATTTTATGCCCAGAATTAGAAGTTTGTGCCAAGCATCACTCACCATTCTAACCACCTGAAGACCAAGCCTTTTCTGACACTTTTTGCTAAGTATTTTTTGCTAGAAAAATTACTTTGAACTCTCAAACATTACATATTTTTAAAGCAGACACCCTAGCAAAAAAAATGGTGGGTGCTGCAAATTTTTAGATCACATACTGTAGTACTCAAACAGCGATTTTTCAAATGCAACTCTTTTGAAAAAAATAAACTTTTGCTACTTTTAATGCACAATAACACAATATAGTGGCCAATTATTTGGTAAACTATAAAAAGATGATGGTATGCCAAGTAAATAGATACCAAACGTGACATGCTTTAAAACTGCACATGCCGTTCAATGGCAACTAACTGTATAAATTTTTAATATCCATAGGCAATGCTTTAAAAGCCTTTATAAGATACCATTTTAGATGTACAGAAGAGATCTAGTGCTAGAATTACTGCACTTGATCTGACATTTGTGTCGATACCTAACATGTATGATGCAACTGCTGTTTACATACTGGCACAGGGTCAATGCATGGGGGGGGGTGAGGGTGCTTGTTTATTCTCACCAAGATCGGTGTGATCAGATGCTTTCCCAATTTACAAATGGCGCTGTTTATATCCTGTGAAATTGAAGTGATGAAATGCTTGTAGCGTCCGATTTCTTAGACAATAAAGATGCTTGGTGCCATTCAGATCTTGAAACAGCTCTACGGTCAGCTGGCAGAAACACCGGCTGCATGTTCCCCCGATGGCACAGGACTGTCGGAGAAGGCTGTGGAAGGCAGCAGAGGAGGGGGGGAATCTTCTCCCACTGCTTGTGAAAGCAATCCTGCAGTTAATTAGCCACTAGGATTGCTTTTAAATGAAAGCCGATCGCCAGCTGAAAAAAAAATATACCAGGATGATGCCTGCAGCTGCAGGCATTGTTCCGGTATAAACACTCAAAATCCAGCAATCTACCAGTGCATTGCTGGTCCATGTTGGGCATATATGTAACAGCAGAGAACATGGGCATATGATGAATTGGGTCTGTGAACCAATATGACCACAATTCAATCTTTTTGTAATATCCATGTTGAATGTTAGTCCCAAAAAAGTTTTAAATTCAGAAACCGTGATAGGTTTCCATGCGAATTGCACAGGCATCATCCTGGTATAACCACTCAAAGTCCAGTGATATACCAGTATGTCGCTGGTTCTTGTTGGGTGTACATGCAATGCTTTTTTTTTATGCAGCCTGTGGGCTGAATGAAAAAAGAGAAGAAATATCTGCCATAACAAGTTAGAATATAGCTCCCTGCATCCATCCACTTCTAATGGTGGGTACACATGAAATGTTCCAAAAACTATTATAAAAATATATATGCTGAAGCATAGGGGCCATCCACCCACTGGCCACCTCAGGCCCCCATGCTTCAGCATATATGCTCTTTTTTAACTGGATGTAAAAATCTCATCCAACAGCACTGTCCACACTGACGTATGTATATTCTGAGAGCAAGTTCCTGTTGCTGTCAGAATAAACAGGTCAGTGCTGCAGCTGAATGACATTCCTGCAAAGAAAACCGCAATGGTTAACAATAAAAACAGTATAATCGTAACAGTAGAACAGTAACGACAACAACAAAAAAAACTATAATTATTTTTGTTTTTTAACCGCCTCCTGCCCGTCATATTAGGAAATGGTGGGAGCAAGGCAGTTCTCTCGTTCTGGGAGGACGTCATATGGCGTCCTCCCACTCTAACCGTGCGTTCACGGCTCCGGGGGGTGTACAGTGCGATCACAGATCAATGGAAAGAGCCGAAGATGGCTCGGTCATGTGATCAACTGTGTCCAATCACAGCTGATCACATGTAAATAAGGAAATACCGGTTATCAGCATTTCTCTCCTCACGAGCTCTCACACTGACAGCTGGAGTGCAGAGGAGAGCCGATAATCAGCATCCCTCAGAGGGGACATGTACACTGATCATCAGGGCACTGAGGATCAGTGTGCCCTTATGATCAATGTAGCCCCAGCAGTGCCACCTGTCAGTGTCCATCAATGCCAGCTGTCAGCGCTCATCAATGCCACCTGCCAGTGCCCATCAGTGTCACATCAATGCCACATATCAGTGCCTACCAATGCACATCAATGCCACATATCTGTGCCCATCTGAGCTGCCTTTCAGTGCCACCTATCAGTGCCAGTCAATGCCACCTATCAATATCAGTCAGTGCCACCTATCAGTGCTGCCAATCAATGCCGCCTATCAGTGCCAGTCAGTGTCGCCTGTTAGTGCCCATCAGTGTTGCCTATCAGTGCCACCTAACAGTGCCAGTCAGTGCCGCCTATCAGTGCCAGTCAGTGCCTATCAGTGCCCACCTATCAGTGCCATATATGAGTGCTGCCTTTCAGTGCCCATCAGTGATGCCTGTCTATGCCCATCAGTGCCACCTACCAGTGCCTCCTCATCAGCGCCCATCAGTGATGCCTATCAGTGACCATCAGTGCAGGCTATCAGTGCCCATCACTGCAGCCTCATTAGAGCACATCAGTGAAGGAGAAAAATCACTTATTTACAAAATTTTATAACAAAAACTAAGAAAAAATGTTTTTTTTTTCAAAATTTTCTGTTTTTTTTTGTTTGTTTAGCAAAAATAAAAAAACCCAGAGGTGATTAAATACTACCAAAAGAAAGCTCTATCTGTCTCATGATAAAATGATAAAAATTTAATGAGCACAGTGTTGCATGACCGCACAATTGTCATTAAAAGTGTGACGGCGCTAAAAGCTGAAAATTGGCCTGGGCAGGAAGGGGGTATAAGTGCCCTGTAGGCAAGTGGTTAAAATTTTTAAAAAAAAGTTGGACTTTATTTTTTATTTTGTTTTATTTTTTATTTTTTGTGTTTTTAAAAAAAAAATAATTTTTAAAACAGATTGTAGGGTCTCTCAAAATGTGATAGCCAGTCTGACTACCTAACATTTTTTGAGACCTGTGCCATGCTGTACCCTATACTAATACTCCACTAGTGTATGGTAGCAACGGAAGCAGTCCTTGAGGCAGAGACCAGTTTGGCCAAGACAGAGGGAACAAAAAAAGCGGGTGTTGCATCTTATTCAGTGTCTGCTACAGACAAGACATCTTCTTTGAGGTGACCTTTGGGTTGAGGTACCAGAGAGGACATACGGAAAATGCCTCTCATGCAGCCGGCAAACTGCATCTAGATTTGAGCATTGGGCCACAGCACAAAAGGGCTGTGATGATCTCTTCCTGGAATTTTAAAAAGGATCCACTTCGTCCAGTTGCTTTGTAAATTATAAAAGCATTATATATAGTCAATTGAAATAAATAAACACCTTTTTGTACCAGTGTCGAGCTTTCCAGGAAACTAGGTATGGATTCATCATTTGGTCGTTGAAGTCCACCCCTCCCATGTTAAGGTTATAGTTGTGGACACAGAGGGGTTTCTCAACAATGCCAGATACCGTGTTAATTTGGACTATCGTGTCTGTGTTAATGGAAGACAGGACAAAAACATCCCATTTGTCCTTCCACTTCACTGCGAGCAATTCATAATTTCTCAAGTAGGCTTTCTCCCCCTTTCTAAGTCGGGTATTTACAAGATGTTGGGGGAAGCCCCGGCGATTAGGTCGCATGGTTCCACATGAGCCAATTCCAAGATTCTACATAGTGGCACGCTTGTATGCAAATTGTCCACGTATAAGTGGTACACCTTATGGAACAAACACAGCACCAAGTCCCAAACTATCTTGCCACTGCTCCCCATGTAATCTGGGCAGTCGGGGGGCTCTACTTCACTGTCTCTTCCCTCATGAACCCTAAATGTGTATGTATAGCCTGTGGCCCTCTCACAGAGCTTATATATCTTGACCCCATATCTGGCACACTTGCTGGGGATGTACTGTTTAATGCAAGGCGGACAGTAAAGTGAATGAGGGACTCATTCACGCAGATGTTTTGCTGGGGTGTATACACATCTGCAAATTTCTCAGTGAAGTGGTTTATGAGGAGTTGATTTTTGTAGAACCTGTCATGTTCAGGGTCACCCCAAGGATGACAGAGTGTGTTATCACTGAAATGCATGAAGCGCATTATCGTCTCATATCTATGCCTAGTCATGGAAGCAGAGAACATGGGCATATGATGAATCGGGTCTGTGGATCAATATGACCACAACTCATTCTTTTTTGTAATGCCCATGGTGAGGGTTAGGTCCAAAAAAGTTTTAAATTCAGAAACCGTAATGGGTTTCCATGCTAATGGTCTGGCAAGGTTTGAATTTGGGTTTGCGGCGATATATTGTTGAGCATATAAATTGCTTTAGCCCACAATCAAATTGTACAAATCTTCTGTGAAAAACAGCTCCATAAAATCAAGAGTAGTTAAATTTGCTGTTTCCACCTGAATTCTGGGTTGGGCATTGAATGGGGGAAGTATGGGTGTTGCAGAATCTGCAGGCTTCAATCAGGATTTGCAAGCACGTCTGGAGGGTCACTAGGGGCTCTACATGCCTTCTTTTTATATGAGTAAACTGACTCTTGGGTGTACCTTGATGATGGTGACAGCTAGATACTGGTATATAGCTGTTCCTGTCCACTTCTTTGAAATATGTATACATTTGGCCTTCCCATTTGAATAAGGTCAAATCCAAAAAATCTATTTGGTTGTAAATTACTCATCATGGAGAACTTTAAACCATTAATATTCATGCATTCTGAGAAGAGATTTAATTCTTCTTCAGTACCCTTCCTCACTATTATAATATCATCGATGTACCTTTTGTATAATATCATCTCTGGCCACTTATTATAAGTGAATTCTTCCTCCCATTTCACCATCACCAAATTGGCAACACTCGGGGCATATTTGGCTCCCATAGCCACTCCCTTGCACTGTTTATAAAAAGTTTTATTGTACCAAAAGAAATTGTTCTTCATTGCAAATTCCAATATTTCAACAATAAATTCTCTATGAATTTTATTTGAGTTTTGTTTTATATTTCAATGCCCAATACACTGCCTTAATTCCACTGTCTTTCAAAAAAGATTCATTTTTTAATCACAATTTCTTGTAAAAAGTGGTCCAGTTCTTGCAAAGATGGAGTTTATACCACTTACAGTAGGCCTACCTGGTGGTTTACTTCTATTTTTGTGTATTTTAGGCAAATAATAGATAGTAGGAATCCTGGATTTTTTTTGTAGTAAATATCTGGCTTCTTTTTTATTGAGAATTCCTATATCAGTTCATTTTTTAATGATCTTTTTTAGTTGATTTTAAGTATTTTAGTGGGATTTTTCTTCAATATTAAATAAGTATCTTTTATATTTAATAATCTCTCCATCTCATTTTTTATAATCAATTTTATTTAATTCCACTACCCCCCCCCCCCCCCCCTTTGTCTGCAGCTCTTATCACCACATTTTTGTTTTTTTCTAATTCTCTTAAGCCCATCTCAATGTCTCGAGGAATAATATTTTTTTATTTTTTAAACTGAATTTTCAACCATATGTTTCAACACTTCAAGAAATTTATTCCCCCTATTTTTTGGATTAAATGTGGAGGCATTTTTTTTTAATTACTATGTGGGAAGTTCCCTTCACCCTGTATCCTTTCATTATTTACTGACTTTTTATTGATCTCAAAAAATGTTTTTATGTTTAATTTCCTCACAAATTTTTGCAGCCTATAAATGTATCAAATGTATTAATATTAGCCCATGGTACATATTTCAAACCCAAATCAAGTACTTTCATCTCATTATCTGTTAAAACAACATCACTTAAATTGAAAATTCCAGCTCCTAATCTTCTCTTTTTCTTTTTTTCTTTTCGCTTTCCTCCTCTCTTCCCCCTGTGCCTTCCTTACTTCCATAATTTTTTTGTCTCTCTCCACCCCCTCCTTGGAAAATTGTTGTCCAACCCCTTTGAGAATTCTGAAAACCTGCTCTCCCCATTGGTCCCATCTGAAAATCCCCTCTCTGTGTCCAGTTTCCTCTGTTCCATCCAGATCTCTGGGAGGAACCTCTAAAAAGTCTTCCTCTTCCACCTCTAAACATACCAGAAAATTGTGTATTTCTATTAAATTGTGATCCAGAATCAAAATCATCATCATTCTGAAACTGGACACCACTTCTCACAGGTGCTGATACATTTTTTGTTTGTGTTAGTTTGGATATGTCTGGGATTTTCTGATGGTCTTTTTCAGGTGTAGATTGTCTAGAATCAACATCACCTGTTATGATGTCTTCTTGCCATGTATATATCTTATTATTCCTATAATTCTCCATATCCCTTTTATATTTTTTTACTTTTTTATTTTTAGTATCTCTATCTACTATTGAATATATTCCTGTACTACTTTTGGTCTTTCTTTATATTCATTAGAATCAGAAAAAGGTGACAATCGCTTTTAATTCTCTAATATGTGAATCTACCTTTCTTAATTTTATCTGTCTTCTTTTTCTAATTAATTCCAACAAATTGCTTTTACATTTGTTGAAAAATGAAAAACAATCCTCCATTAGTTCTTTTTCTTCTAAACCATCATTAGCTGGCACATCCCAGCGTAGTCTCCTGGGAGTGATCTTTTTTTTTTATATAAAGCTCTAATGTGTTCACATCCCACCAAATTTTAATTTGTTTTTCCAATAAATGTTTTACATTTTTAAAAATATATTACAGGTGACAGTAATCACAAATTATACTAACACTGAACTTCTTGTTAGGGGCGGGACGTTGGGGCTAAACGCTAGTACTTGCAGCAAATGGGGATGATTCTGCTAACACTGCGTTTTTTTGGACATAAATACTAAGGGGGCACTGGTATAGTTCTGTTCATGATCAATATATTGATCTGTACAAACACTATACTAATAATGACAGTGATCAGTGACCTATAGCATGAGCGAGATAGTGTGCAGGCAATCTAATGCTAGCTGACCCTAGCTGGGAGGGACGCTAACTGACCCTGAAGCTAATTGATGTTGCTAGTGGCACTAATACATTGATCAGTGTAAAATACTGTACACTGACATTGTACTAATGGCACTTGCAGGGTGGCAGGGGGCAATCAAAGGGTTAAATGTGTCAATCAAGGGGTCAAAATGTCTCTATTTAACGTGTGTGGGTGCAGTGTGCTGCTTTTACTCACAGGTGAACCAGCTAGATCCTGTGCTTGTATTTACAAATACAGGCACAGCTCTGCATCTCCATTCGCTGTAGGAGATCGGCAGAGTCCCTGCCAAAATCACTGGCTGAGACCTGCTGACATACACCTCCTACAACCAATGATAGCAGGGGACAGCGGGGGGGGGGGGGGTTGCATACAAGCTCTA